GTATCCACGCACAAAATCTGCACCTTCTCTGTAGGGATCATAAAGGGTATTGAAGAAAAATGGAGTTGAAGGGGTGAGAAGGTTTTTAATGTGCTGCTCGAGTGCATTAATTTCCTTGCCCGTTGGATCTTTAGCAACCTGTGCATCAATAGAGATTAGACATCAAAACAACAGAAAATGGGACCCAGCATTAAACATTTCATGCACAAGTCAGTAAAGTGTATCAATAATGCTTTCCTTATTCGCGGTGAATCTTAATAACAGTATCAACCAAAAGAGTTATCTTGTCTACTGCATTTTTATATCGATTAGTTTTCTTCACTCTTGTGTACCAAGGATATTCTACGGGAATTGGAAATGCTGCTAGGAGTCTATAGGCGCTTGAAACAATTATCACAATCTTAAAATTTGACGAAGGAAAAAAGTCGAGAGAAAGATTTGAAGGATAAGAAGAACCATTTCTGACAATCTGATTGCATTTTCCTTTAAAAGATAGTTATACCAAAACATGCACTAGAAGTTAAAGTTAACCTTCCGAGAAGAACTTATTCATAGACATTAGACTCAAATCTTAATTTTGGGTCAGCACTAGAGCCAGATCATGAGAACCACATCCATTAAACCATTTGATTCACAGACGAAAGTTCCGATCACAGAAAAAATGGTCGACCACCAAAGATCTCATCAATAAACACAGATTGAAAAGGGTAAAAATCTTCAGAAGAAGCCATAATGCAAATGTACAAACCAATATTCAATACTTACATAAAAATGAATCTAATAATTGGATTTCAAAAACAATCAATAGATTTAAAATGCCAAATCCCATTATCTTGAAACCAAAGAAAAGAAAAATTTACATTTTTGAACTACACCAAATAAATATACATTTTAAACAAAAAGTGAAAAAACTCATAGGACCCCACATGTAAAAAATCCAATCTTTGACTCAAAAGTCACTAGAACACCAAACCGAATTAGATCTTCGGAGGGATGAACAGATCAACAACTATAAAACATAACAATGCACAAGAAAAGAATGAAAATTCGAAAAACATGGACTTGAAAACCTCGTTTTGTCAAAGTTTAATTCACATTTTAAATTACAGCATATCTTCGAAGGTAAATTTGATACAAAAAGCAAAAATGCATTTAGAAAATTAAGTTCCAATCTTTGACACCAAAAATTTGTAGAACACCACAATAAAAAACAGATCTTCCCAAAAAAATAAAAAAGAATCAACAGATCAACCCCTATAAAACATAAAAAAATGCACAAAATAAAGAACAGAACATCCAGATCAAATATTCAAAATAATAATAATAACTGAAAATTTTAAGAATTAAAGTTTGAATCTTACAAAGCAATCGTCATCAATAGTGAAGATGTACTTCTTCTTGGAGACCATGTAGCCAAAGCAACGGCAAGCAGAATCCTTGAATGAAATGCAAGAAGCCTTTGGGCCCAGAATTTTGTTAATATCATTTCTATTGTAGAGTTCATAATCAAAACCCTCCGGAACTTTGATGGTTTTTGAGGGATCTCCGTCTTGGACTATGATCAGATGGTATGGCTGGAAAAATGGCCTCCACATTTCGAGGAAATCGAGATTTCTGATGGTGGGGATTACTATGTCTAGCTCATCTTTCAAAGCCGGGGATGATTTTGAGATATCGGCTGTTGCCATCGCCGAATTTTCTTGAGGTTCCTGGGTTTTGGGAGAAAGGAAGAGATATTGAGATCTAAGGAGGCGAAGAGGGTGAATATGTAGCTGAATTTTGTGGGGGTGGGTTGCGTGGGGGGAGTGATTGAGTCGCGTTGAAAGTGAAACTCTTGAATAAGGAAGGCGCGGGTTGGCACCGGCGGCACGTGAGACAACAGGTGTAGAGAGAGAGAGAGAGGTGGCTAGTGTTAAAATAAATTAAGAAAATTTATTACTTCAGTTATTAACTTGCATATAAATAAATATTTTTTTTTATGACGAGGGAACCAGCAGTTTCTATCTTTTGGATGCACACTGGATAAACTCTCGAATTGATACAATAGTTTGCAAATCATGCCAGCCAGGTAAATCGCATTAGGCAAGTCCTGTGCGACAGGTTTGACCGAGAAAATGTTGTTAAGGGAAATCGAACTCGTAATCAAAGTTCTCCGCGTTCACCTACTCCACCAATTCGATTACCCCATGTGGGGTGCATATAAATAAATATTTTATAGATAGATTAGTCATTTCTTATTTTTACGCTAAAAAATATGACTCTTGCCAAACATTTTGAAATATTTTAAAATGATATAGCTGTGTTTGATCTCATTATTTTCAATTTCTTTTTCTTTTTAATAATAGCTTTTTTAATAAAATAATATTATAAGCAAACTCAAAACTTTTTCATTATTTTTTACACACGTTATTCATAATCTACTATTTCAAAATGAATCTATTAATAAAGAGTAAAAAATATGTTTAGAGAGAATTATTACGATCTAGATGGTAGTGATAGTTTAACGATTATTTCTCTAACAGAAATACTTCAAGCAATCTTAAATTAGATAATTATTCAATTAAAAATATCAAATACAATGTAATGAGTAGTATCTGGGTCGTGGAGGTGTTATACACAAAATAATAGAGATATGATTTCCAAAATAAATTTGGATATTGACAAGTCAAATAAAGGATTGAAGATCATCGAGTGTTGGCATAAAAGTAAAGTCGACAAAATCGAACGACTAGTTCAATTAGAAAAATTGAAAATTGATTTAATTTTATATAATAAAAACTTAAATTCATAATCTATTATAACAAGTCAATAATCTATCGACACTTCAAATTTCTAGTCTTCTCTTTCCTTTTTACCCCTCTTTTTGTGCTTGTTTGGTAGGAATTTTGAAAATTGATTTTTTGACCGTTAGAAATAAAGTGAGTTTTACATGTGAGAGAAGAATTCAGAGCCTGTTTGTGAGTGATTTTACCCCCAAAAATTGATTTTTTGACCGTTATTTCACTATTTCAGCAGTCATATTTGACTTCTTCTATCACAGGTGGACCATTTTATCTTAACGGTCAAAAAATTAATTCTCAAAATCGTTCTCAAATAGGCTCTCAAAAATGATGACTGAAATAGTGAAAGAACGGTCAAAAAATTAATTTTAATTGACTTTTAAGCTGTACCAAACAAGCTCTTTTATTAGTTTTTACTCCGTTTGACTCCAATTCAACCCTACTTCGTTTACGTGTAATGTTTAGACCGACTTTTAAATTATTTGGGATAGAAATGTCAATGCAATGTTAGAAATTTCTATTTTTCGCGGAAAATATAAAAAATAAAAAGGAAACGAACTCCGGTGTCACGCGGGAACCGGCATTAGCGGCACAAGAAGGGCGTATAGAAGGGAAGACGTGTCGGAACTTTGACTCTTGACAGATGGCATACTATGGTAATATGATTAGGCGACTATTTTAAAGACCCATGTTTGTACCTTTGTGCTGTCCAATCATTCTTTGTTGGCTGTCCACTACTTCTCCACTCTACCGCTTTTTCAACCTTTAAAAAAGATGAGAAAAAATTTATGTGTAATATTATTTTAATGAAAAATATGCGATTAAAAATAAAAATTGTTAAAAAAATAATATGATAGAATTTTAGACAAACAAAGCTTTAAAAAAAATAATATTTCAACCATTAACTTTTTAAATCCCTGTTTGAGCCATATTATTTTCTTAATAAAATAAAAATATGATCGTTATTTATCACATCAAACTACCATATTTGACTTTTTATTATTTGTGTGAGACTCATAACCACTATATTTTTAATTCTCATTTTTACAATAATGTAGTTCAAACGGGGAGCTAAATAATGAAGGCCAAATGGACAAACCAAATTTATCTAAAAGCTATGCTATCTAAAAAAAAAAAAAAAATCATAAAATAAGTAAGTTCAAAAGCAGTTTTTGAATCTCAATAACTCATTTTTGGCTTCTCAAAATCCATGCCAAACGGGTCCTTAACCTTGTTTATTTAAGCTTATAAATACATGTAGACTTGTCAAACATCTTCTTCTTCTTCTTCTTTTTTTTTTCAATCCTTTATTCGTCCATGGAATTTATAAATTATTTGGAGAAAAATAGGGCCAAATAGGAGCGAAGTAATTTCTCGAGTTAGTTATTAGAGGTAGTTTATTTTCATTTTTTTTACCTCGATGCAACTAAATTATACCTATATTTGAGGCCTATTTATTTTTTTAGAGGAATGTGATTTAAAATAGTGATTTTTTTTTTTAAGAACATGTGATTGAAAAATAGAAATTTTTTTGAAGTATATGTAAAATTCTTTTATAGAAGAATGTGTGATTGAAAATAAATTTTAAAAAAATGAGTTTTTGAAGAATGGGATTGTAATAGGGGCTATGATCCACTTCTTTTAGAATAATGTTGTTTCGCCAGATGTTATTAACATTTTTTTATGATAGATTAAGTTGAGGCAAAAAATTTGTGATGATGGTGTTAAAGAATTAACTTAGTCCATGTTTGAGCCACATTTTAGAAAAAAATATCTATTATTCATATCAAATCAATGAGAAATGTGTGGTTAAAATATAAGAAATTTTTTTAGATATACGTGTAATATTATTTTATTGAAAAATGTGTGATTGAAATAATATCAAATTACTGTTGAAAAATATATTGTTGAATAGTAAATTAATGGAAAATGTATGGTTAAAAAATAAGGAAATTTTTTTAATTTACGTGTAATATTATTTTAATAAAAAATATGTGATTGAAAAGAAGAGAGAGAAAAATGTATTTTGAAAAAAATTGTACCAAGCGGGTTGTAAGTGTGAATTTGTCAATCAAAACTATCAATTAAAATGGTACAAGAAATGAAGAGGCGTGATTTGTGTATTACTAACTGAAAAGACGAAAATGGGTATATAGCAAAACAAATCTTCTTTGCGTTGTATGGGGTATAATGATAATTTCGTATCATGATGTGTATCGGGTGGTACAGAGGGAGGAGGGAGATTTCAGATTGGGTGTGAAGATAGATAGAGGAACAACCAAGCGGTTCCTTTTCATTTTGACCCGTGCCGGTGACTGACAGCTCTGACTTTACTGGGAAAGACAGAATTCCGGCGACAAAAAACGTAGTTTTGCTGAAAGGTAAATTTGTTATTAACATGGAGATGATTAGTTATGCATTTTCTCTGTTACAGAACTGGTATTTCATTCTGTGTTCAGACTTTGCTATTACTCTTATCCTCTGGCATTATGTCTACAGCTTAAAAAATTCACTTACAAGTACAAATAATAATATGTTTTCAAATAATTAAAAATAAGTAAGATATTTTAATGAGTTGCTTGTTTGGAAACAAGAAGTTAATTCAAAGGAACTTTTACTTATTTTAATCTTTGCTAAACATGCTCTAAATGCAAATGTGCTTCACAGTTCTTAGTTTAACTTTTGGTTGGTTAGAGTTGATTGGATTAGGAAACTCAAATTCTTCTTCTAATAATACACCTTGGTAGTAAGTTTGGCTCACTTGATTGTAGCTGGAAAAGAACTACAAAGAAAAAGAGTTTGTTATTAGGTGCAATACTGAGTACCAAAGACTGCATTTCGTGCGAGTTAATGCTTGCAAAGAAGCCCAACCTTGTTCCTTTTAAGCATAGAGATACAGACTCTTTACTAATATTGAAGTGGTTGGCATCGTCTATGGTTGAGAATAGGACGGTATTAAAATGTATGTGATTCCTAATTTTCATTCTTGATTAATGGAAACATTCTTACCACATGCTTTTGCACATGTGTTTGTCTTTCACGAATCATAGAATTTCACCTCTCATTATGAAATATGAATTTTCCCGTTTGTCTCTATTAATCACAGTTCTGATTCAAAGGCCAATGTAATAGGTCTAAACTCCTAGTTCCAACTATTTTGGCGAATAACATGAATCCAATTTTGCCTCTTCTCGCAGAGACACCTGTGCATTTCCATGATTAAAGAACCTTGATAAGTCACCATTTGTTTTTTCGACGATTTCATTTTACGTTAAACTGTGAGCTTTCCATCTCTTAAAAAGAACCAGAGTGCTGATAAGGAGGAATTACATGAGTCTTTATTCCGTCTCCCGAAAAATCTTAAAATCCCACTTCTGCTACTACCTTGGCCTTATTATTTTGGGCCATAAATAAGCTAAACTAGACTGTACAGGTGTTGTTCGTATGTTGGTTTTCATCAGAGCTGGAGAATGAACTTCTTCATGTTTGTTTAACTGCTCCAATAAGGTAGCTCAAACTAAAATCCTCAATTTAACTTGGGATAGCTAAGTTCATGTGTTCAGCTTGTTAAGTTATATTAACCCAAGGCTAAGCTCATATTCAAGTTAAACTCCTTAATTTTGTACTCATGTTCATCTTGTCTGTAATTTAAGTTTTATGTAAACAAGACTGAAGAAGATTGCACTGGAAATTCTAGAATCAAGATTTAAAAATGTGAACTTCTTTTCTAGGAAAAACTTAGGCTAGAAAACCTTAGTTATGTATGAGCCCTTTAAGCAACTAGCTGAGTATACAACTTCAATCTTGATTTACCAACATAACGTATAAATTTACGAAGAGAAAATTTCAAAGTGGGAGAGGGGTCCTTCCATGAATGGACCTGATAGGATCCTTGTTGCTGTGCTTCAGATCCCCTGTTACTGCTGCTTGGTGGTTGGAAGATCCTGATGAAGTGCTTCAAACCCGCTGAATAGTATCAAATTAGGCCTCAGTTATGTAATAGGAAAAACAGTAAGCTAGCTTTATGAATTATAACTATCGCTGATGAACAATGGAAGATCAAAGTAATTTGTTATTGAATAGTGAATCAATAGAATTGGTAACAAAACCAAGGCTATCAGACAGGCCCGGTCTCTCCCCTCCCCTAACTAAAACTCAGTAATTGAACGAATCCTACATTCCCCTTCTCCTCAGACTTATTGGCATTCCCTACTACAACGCTACTACGCGCAATACTCTAGAATAGTTGATGACTTGGCTATCTCAATATTGGTTGTATCCTTGCAATCAAATTGGATATCTGTTAGGACCGATTGCAGTTGATGAACAATACCATAATAGAAATAAAATGTTGTATTTTATTGATGAAACTGAGAAGTACAATACTGGAAAAGAAAACACATAGCCATTCGAGAGGACTAAGTCTTTCCACGCTCTCTACTCAATTTTTCTCCCCCATCACTACTGGTTGCCACTTTATTTATTGATTTTTTCTAACTACTTATCCACCACTACTTGCCATAATAATAGAATCAGTTGCTACACATTCTTCTCCATCCTTCTGGGTCTTTCATAGAGTCATTGCGGCCTTCCATTCTTTGGACTTGCTCCCTAATAAGGCCCAACCCCATTTGTTGAATATTGCCCAGTTTCTCATCACAGTCCAAGCCTACGAAATCCATTAATTTTCGGGTTAATAGCACAAAACGTCCTCACATTTGACACTTATTGCAGAAAACGTCCCTACGTTTCATTTTTTTACATTTTTGTCTTTATTTCAACGTTTCATTGCAGAAAACGTCATTTTCACCATTTTTGAATGTAAAATGACCAAAATACCCTCATATTTAAATAAAACCAAAAAAAGAAAAGAAAAATAAAGAATAAATTGCAATCTTACTCCTAAATGTTTTAAAAAGTGCAAGTGAGTCCAAATAATTATTAAAAGGTATAATAGCACAAAACGTCTACGTTTGGCCTGTAGTGTGCAAAATATCCCCACGTTTCAAATTAATGAAAATGACGTTTTTCGCAATGAAACGTGAAAATATGGATGAAAATCCAAAAAAATTGAAACGTATAGACGTTTTCCACAAGAAATATCAAACGTAAGGACGTTTTCTACAAGAAGTGTAAAACGTAGGGACGTTTTGTGCTATTAGACCTTATTAAAAGTGAAACCATTGCCAAACCGTTGAACCTCCATACCATCTACCATCACCAAAACTCTGGCGGCACCACCTGTTCTAAAGAAATTCATGTCATTTTCAACATACCAATCGACTATACTCATCAAGACGCTTCTCTTCATGGTCTTAAAATATCAACAAATGGTTCAGTGGTATGGAGGTTCGATGATTTGGGCGATGGTTGGTCGAAGTTTTTTAATTTCTAAGGTGGCAGTCCCATTTGGAGAAGAATAGATCATGAAGAGAAGCGTCCTGGTGAGTGATATCTCCAGAATAGGTGGTGCTGTCAGAGTTTGAGTGATGGTATTTTGGAAATGGTATGGAGGTTCAGCAGTTTGGTAATGGTTTCAATTTTATTAAGGCCTAATAGCACAAAATATCCCTACGTTTGACACTTCTTGCGGAAAACGTCCCTACTTTTGACATTTCTTGTGGAAAACGTCCATACGCTTCAATTTTTTTTTGCATTTTCATTCCAATTTTCACGTTTCATTGCGGAAAACGTCATTTTCATCAATTTGAAACGTATGAACGTTTTGCACACTATAGGCCAAACGTAGGGATGTTTTGTACTATTAGGCCTTTTAATAATTATTTGGTCTTACTTGCACTTTTTAAAACATTTAGGAGTAAGATTACAATTTCTTCTTTCTTTGTCTTTTCTTTTTTTTTTTTTTTTTTTTTAATTGGAGGGTTTTTTGGTCCTTTTATATTCAAAAATGGTGAAAATGACATTTTCTACAATGAACGTTGAAATAAGGACAAAAATGCAAAATGAAAATGACGTTTTCTACAATGAACGTTGAAATAAGGACAAAAATGCAAAAAAATATAACGTAGGGATTTTTTCGCAATAAGTGTCAAATGTAGGGACGTTTTGTGCTATTAACCCATTAATTTTCTATTATTCTTCTCCTGCTTCGGCCAATTCACGGAGATCCATTCCACGACCTAAAAAGACCTTTTCTCTCTTGGTGATGGTAATGATAAGATTTCAATTAACTCTACCTTCCTACCCGATTCCATCCAATTTGGGATCAACCTTTTCAGTTTTCTCAACATGTGCATCAACTCGGCCCCTCCAGATTCGTTCAATGATCTCTCCTTTCCCAATTTGTTGATCAATCAATTCGGACACATCATTGGGGGTGACATAACCATTCCAATTGCTAGAAATTTTTCCTTCGTCAGCATTGAAAATTATCATGTTCCCACTGGTGGCTTCCAACCTGCGAACAAGCAGTAACAACCACCTAATTTCATAAACCCTTCTATTCAATATCCTCTTTGAATTTCTCGATCGAAACAAGCGAGGAAGCTGCCAATATCGAGTGATACTGTTGCAGTACTTGCGTAATTAAGCTGGGATGCTTTGTCTCTGTCTCTTCAATTTGTACTTTCAAATTTCCCAAGTCCAGTAATACCACCTGCCCTCCATTTTTTAATGCCTTCACCATAGATTTCTTAAACACTTGAGTTTCATATAACCTCTTAATTGGAGGAGGACCATTTTCCATTGGCGTGGGTGGCTATATGGTGATCGCTGTGGTGTTTGGGACAACAATGTGTGTTAGGCTGTGATTGTAATTCATCTGACAAGGGAAAGGGTGAGAGTTGAAATTCATATTTGGGCATGAATTAAATTGGGCCTGCTTTAGACCTTCATTGCAGTCCTTAACTCTTTGGGCTAATTCCATAGTTTGGCCCATCCCTTTAGGCTTTAGCATCTTTCCTTCTATCCGAATCCCTTGTTTGAACCCATTGACTCCATTCCCTTCCACAACATCTTCTTGAAGTGTCAACAATGGCGAAACAGGCATTTTCTTCGACCTCGCTACTTCACCTGCCATGATTCCTCCCTGCGATTCAAGCTAACTGTAATTGTCCTAATTTCATTCGATTCAAGTGTACTTTCTGTTGTGCATATGGCTCATATAGAGTGGAATACAGGTCTTGGATCAAGTAGGTCGATACCGGATTGGAGTGAGAGGAGCAGAACGCATCCACTTCGCTCTCGTGGATGTAGGCACATCGCCGGACCAAGTAAATTCTTGTGTTGATTTTCTTTTCATCTCTTTATTATTGCGCATAAAATTCAATTGGTATCAGAGCAAGGTTCAGATGGCGAGTTCTTCGATTGCAAAATTCGATGTGATGAAGTTCGACGAATTAGGGAATTTCGAATTATGGCAGCGAAGGGTGAAGGATTTGTTGGTGCAGCAAGGGATGGTGAAGGCACTATCTGGAAAGAAGTCAGAGGGCACATCAGATGTTGATTTGGAAGAGCTCGAGGCTCGAGCAGTTGGTACAATTCGGCTTTATTTGGCGAACGAGATCATGTATCACGTCATGGACGTTGAGTCTCTGACGGGGGTTTGGGAGAAATTGGAGGGTCGTTATATGTCGAAGTCTCTCACGAACAAGCTACATCTGAAGCAGCGGCTGTACGGGCTAAAGATGCTGGAGGGTACGGATCTGATTCAACACTTTAATGTGTTCAATCAAATTATTAGCGATCTATTGCGAATTGAAATCAAGTTTGATGATGAAGATAAGGTAATAATTTTGTTGTACTCACTTCCTCCTTCGTACGACAATCTGGTGTAACGGAAAGGATGAACAAAACAATTGTAGAACGGGTAAGATGTTTGGGGCTGAATGCAGGGCTCTTGAAGAGTTTTTGGGCAGAAGCAGTGAACATGGCATGTTATGTCATAAACGGATCACCACGAGCAGCACTAGATGAGAAAGTTGTAGAGGAAGTTTGGACAGGTGATGAAGTTGATTATTCTGAATTGAGAGTATTTGGGTGTCCAACTTATGTACATGTATTTAGTGATTAGCGATCCAAACTTGATCCGAAATCAAGAAAATGCATTTTTCTGGGCTATGTAAAAGGTGTAAAGGGCTACAAGTTTTGGGATCCAAAGGTAAGCAAGATGGTGATAAGTAAGGATGCAGTATTTGATGAAGCATTCAAGCTTAAAGCTTTTCCAGATAAAGAGAAATTCAAATCAGACGAGCGCAGAGGTAAGAGCCATGTGGTGCAAGTAGAGCTAGACAATGTTAACATTGAAATTAATGCTCAGGGAGCGGATAGTTTTGGGTCAGAGGTGGAGCACTATCATAGTGTTGCCTTAGATAGACCACGTCGCACTATCAAGCCATCAGCAAAGTATGGATTTGAGGATTCGATTTCTTATGTGCTCATTACCAGCAATAGCAATCCTATAACTTTTCAGGATGCCATTGGTAGTCAGGAGAAGGGTAAATGGATAGAGACTATGAAGGAAGAAATTGAGTCGTTGCATAAAAATGATACTTGGGATTTGGTGGAGCTTCCAGAGGGAAAGAAATAGATAGGGTGTAAGTGGGTGTACAGAAAGAAAGAAGCAATGTCAGAAAAGGAAGAAGAAAGATACAATGCTCGATTAGTAGCAAAGGATACTCACAGAGGAAGGAAGTAGATTATGATGAAATTTTCTCTCCGGTCGTCAGACACACCTCCATTAGGATTGTTTTGACAATGGTGGCTAATTTTGATTTGGAGTTAGAGCAGCTGGATGTGAAAACTGCTTTCCTTCATGGTGATTTGGAGGAATGGATTTTCATAGAGCAGCCAGAAGGGTTTTTGGAACAAGGAATAGAGAATCTTGTGTGTAAACTGATGAAGTCTTTATACGGGCTTAAGCAGTCTCCACGACAATGGTACAAGAAGTTCGACTCTCATATAATTCAGATTGGCTACATCGTTGTGAGATGATTGTTGCGTTTACTACAGAGTTTTTGAGGATAACTCATTTATTTTCTTGATGTTGTATGTGGACGACGTGCTAAATGCTGCTAAGAACATGGATGAGGTAGACAAATTGAAATCTTTGTTGAGCAGTAAGTTTGATATGAAATACTTGGGACTGGCTAAGAAAATTCTTGGCATGGAGATCAACAGAGATAGGAAAGCCAGAAAATTATAGGTGTCTTAGAAAAATTATTTGAGGAAAGTGCTACAGAGGTTTAGCATGTCAGATGCAAAACCAGTTGCTACGCCATTGGCAAATCACTTCAGATTGTCTAATAATCAGTGCCTAAAGAATGAAAAAGAAGTTGCAGAGATGTCAAAGGTACCTTATGCCAGCGCAGTTGGGTGTTTGATATATGTAATGGTGTGTACCAAACCAGATCTAGCACATGCAGTCAGTGTGGTTGGTAAGCATATGGCTAATCCTGGTAGAGAGCATTGGAGAGCTGTAAAGTGGATTTTCAGGTATTTGAAATGTACAATGGAGTGCGGGATCATGTTTGAGAGACAACATGGTGATATTTTAGTTAAAGGATACGTAGATGCAGATTATGCAGAGGACTTGGATGACAGAAGGTCTCATACAGGTTATGTTTTTGCACTTGCAGGTGAGCCCATATGTTGGAGATCAATGGTGCAGTCACTTGTGGCTTTATCTACAATTGAAGCAGAGTACATGGCAGCAATTGAGGCAGTCAAGGAATTATTGTGGTTGAAAGGGCTTGTAAGGGAATTTGGGATCAAGCAAGATGGAATGAAACTGTACTGTGATAGTCAGAGCACCATCTTCCTAGCGAAGAATCAGATTTATCATGTAAGAACTAAGCACCTTGATATGAGATTTCATAAGATAAGAGAGGTGGTTACTTCAGAAGAGCTGTTGTTGAAGAAAGTGCATACCTTAGAGAATGCAGCAGACATCGTGACAAAGCTAATCACAATGGATAGGGTCAAGTATTGTTTGAACTTAATTAATATCTCTAGGTGTTAGAGAGGATGTGTCCCAACCCATTGGTCATAAATGGTGTGGTTTTTCAGGTTATGCTTTTTCTCCTAAAGGGCGAATATTCGCCAAGGTAGAAATTGTTGTGCATGTAGCTCATATAAAGTGGAACACAGGTTCTGGATCAAATAGGCCGATGCCGGAGCGGAGCGCCTACTTTTTACCACTGAATAAACATTATTTTTGTTTCGCTCTCATGGACGTAGGCACACTGTCAAACTATGTAAATTCTTGTATTGATTTTCTTTTTCATCTCTTTATTATTGTACATAAAATCCAACACTTCCATAATTGAAGATAGTTTCAGGGGATGTTGCTGCTGGACCTTGTTTCGCCCCTGCTCGTCCCTTTTTTTCATCATGGAATCAAACTTCTCTATCATGATAGACATTGCCTTCTTTGTTTCAAATTTTATGTTTTCAAATCTTCTTGTACTCCCAGCTGAATTCCATTAATTTTCGTCTCCAAGGCTACCACTCGATCTTTGAAAGTCATTTTTCCTGATCTCAGCTGCTCTGATACCATTTTGTTAGGAATTCGATTGCAGTTGATGAACAATATCATAATAGAAATAAAATGTTGTATTTTATTGATGAAACTAAAAACTACAATACTACAAAAGAAAACACAACCATTCGAGAGGGCTAGTCTCTCCACGCTCTCTACTTGATTTTCTCTCCTATATCACTATTGGTTGCCACTTTATGTAGATTCTTTCTAATTACGCATACACCACAACTTGCCATAGTAACAGAATCAGTTGCTGCACATTCTTCTTAATCCTTTTGGGTCCTTCTAGAATAGGTACGTGGTAGGAGTCTATCAATATCTATGAAGACCCTACACCAAAGTGATAGGACGAAGAAGTCTACTTCTCTTAATAAAGTTAACTTTTTAACATAGAACCTTCGAGTCTATGGTTTCAGATCCCAAACCTTATTAGGGTGATGGACTGTATTCAAGATAAGAGGCTCGATCGAAAAGCTTTAAGGCATAGCTGTCTTTATGTTGTTTGGAGAATAAACAAGCTCAAACAAGCAATTCGATTTGCCTAAAAAGCTAAAACAATCATTCATATTCTAGACTGGTCTTCTCAAATGAGTCTCTATCTGGAGTCTTCAAGTACTATGTGGTTTGTTACATATACTTAAAATGAAAATTTCTTATTATTACCATTTTAAATCATCTGACTGAATTATTGCCGTTTTACTACTTATAAGATTTTTTTATGCGTGCTTAAATTTTAATTTCTCGGTTGTTGATTATATATTTCATTTTTGTAGCTTAAAACAGAAATGGTGTCTTTGCTTAACTCATCAATCAATCTCACGTTGTTGCCAAATGCATCCACTCAGGTTGTAGTCCGCATTCTCTCTCTGCATTTGGATCGTAGATTACATGTTTCATTGTTTTTGTATTTATAGAAGTAAATTTATGCATCAGCTAGGTCTTTATAGGCATGGACAGTTCCGAAGAAACGTGATCTTTTATGTGAGGTCAGAACAAGTTCCTTCAGCGTCAAACTCTCCTTGCCAAGGTATGTGGGGTTTTGCATTTGCTTTTCCCAATTGAGTAAATTTTTAGGATGATGAACATGAAGATCTTAATTAATCTAACTTAGCATCTTGGTTGCCTAACTTAACTTGAGCAACTACCTGCTACATTCTTGTTTGTTTTTATATAACTTATTAGATTGAACAGTATGAATGTTTCAAGGAAAAGAACTTCAAATATTATTTGTTGTTGATTAGCTACATACCAAAAAAGGCCCTTATTGTATTGCATTACAACAACAAACAACTAAGTCTTATTCCTAACTGTGCAAGATAATGAATTATGGTAACACTGTTCAAAATAAGAAACTACATCCTAAAAGCTTGGCTACTAATTTGTGTATTCTATCAAGATAATAATTAAACAGCAAAGACTTTCGTATTTGCTTGTTTAAGTTTCTGCAGTGTCATATCAGACAATTGCACCATTCCCACTGGTATACGAACTAGTTATTTTCTCCTAGATATGTTTGTTTGTGTGTGTGTGTGTGTGTTTATATCACTATATAAAAAAGGGAATGGGAAGGTACTGTAGTTAGGAACAGTGAATTCTTCTATTTTATCACACTGTAGCACATTTTTTTCATCGTGGAAAGAAAAATGACGTCGTATTGTTGTCAATCATTTCTTCATTTTCACATGCCAATTCATTGCAACCATCACATCCACTGTAATATTTCTCCATTTTCACAGACCACTTCACTTCATCCACTCAACTGGTGCAATAACTTTTGATTTCTTCTTCACCTTCCTTCTTTGTTCCTTTTCTTTTGCGTCTCCGATACCTTCTTTTTCTTATTTGGATTTTAGTGGTTACAGGTGTTTGTTTTACGAAGTTTAATGGATTTTTTTGAATCCCCTTTTGAATTTTTATTTTGGGTCTATTTTTTTTGTGACTTTCTGTTACTTAATTGCAGGAATTCGTTGAAAATATAAGCGTTATTTTGATCTTTTTGATTGAAATACTGGGTGGGTGCTTTGGATCCTTATAATCACATTACATTTGAAGAATCTCATGGTTTTTTGGTGATGAATGTGGGTGGTTGGAAATTGAGTTATTTGGAGATTTTCTACGATGAAAAAAATTGCTACAGTGTTATATTCACTTGTTACCTCAATGTTTCAGATGATTTTTTTTTTTTTTTCAAAAATGGAAAAAATCAAGGTAATGTCAAAAATCGAGAGTCCTAATCTAAAGGATTATTCTCTAACAAACAAAATTCAAATCCGATTTAAATTCATCGAGATATAACCAAAACAAAACTTTCTAAAAATGAAACAACGCAGAAACTAAGGCCTAAATGAAGGAATTTACCTAAAATTGCTTGCTGCTGATTTTTGCTCATTGACACATTTCCAATCAAATTTGACTAAAATTTCATCAAAAAGGGACAACTTTAAAATTTCTCCAAAAATCGGAAAATTGGAGTTCTTAGCTTAAAGAAAGGAGAAAAAAGAAAAAAAATTCTCCAAAAACTGTGCTTGCTCTGTGCTACATGGAGTACACTCTTCGTGCAGAGAAAACACTCGGTGTACTTTGGAGTGAACAGAGAGTTCACTTTCCGTGCAACATGGAGAGTGCCAATGCTCCGAAGCTGAGTGCCTTGTCAAACATCCTACTCATTAACATCAAAACTTTCACTAAGAGTGAAATTGCAAGTTAGCAAACGTAGTAATTAAACTATTCCTTACTTTGACAAGAAAAGAAACTTCAGCATCACTCTCTATCTTGTATGAGATGTATATTCACTACTCACTATCTTGTATGAGATGCGGATACGCTTCCTTAAAGTATACTAATATTTATAGTTTGCAGCAGATATATTTTTGGTGCCTTACATTCCTGTCCGAACTTGGGTCGAAAGTAATTTACTAGAAGAGTTGCTATAAATTCCAAAATCAAAAACCCACCACAAAGGTCCACAGAAGCCAAAGAGGGTGAGAGAGAGAAGAACGTAAGATATATTTCCCATTGGGTTTGAGCAACTATTATCTTTACAGACACATTGCATATAAATATCCAAAAAAATTAGAGAACAGTTCTTTGAATCTTATTGGGAGCATTCATATTCTTTTTCCATGTATGTTTCCTTTTATTGATAAGTTCTAAGAATTATACGAAATGATAAAAATCCTAAGAATATATACGAGTTAGTAAAAAAAAAAAATATACGCCTTAATTTTGAATAAGTATTATTTATTTCAAACCATAAATAATTTCATTGGCCTGGCATCATACACACAAATTTTATTTGTCTAATAAAGAATGGTAACATTCTCACCGTGCTTGTTTCTTTCAGCTTATCCAATGATTTCTCAATTATACTTCCTTTCTTTAGCATATGAACCATTTGCACCTTTAGCTTCCTTACTGTACCTCAAAGCACCATCTCTTGTCTGAATTTCTTCCTAAATGTAATATAATGGATTAATCTTATAAGATAAAGCAGGTAATTGAAACCTATACGAGTACACATAAATTTTGACAACTAGGAAGTTGAATATATGAACTCGCTTGCCGACTCAAAGTCAAAACAACCCAAAGATACTGCATTAAATACAAGGTATTTCCATTAATTTTGTTTAGGTCACCCTGTTCTAGAAATGAAACAAAGAATAGACATAATATTAGGGCTCTGTGGAATTAATATTACGGCTTGTTTTAGAAGTAGTTTCTTGCAACTATGTTTGACACAAAAGCAACAGAGCTCAGAAACTACAAAATCAGTTGGAACACATTTCATTAACATCTGAATATTTTTCAAGAATATAAATGGCATTGCAATATTTAAGGGGAAATATTATAACAATAATTTTACAATCATGGGCAAAGTTGTCACAAGCACTGAAAGAGAATTGACACTTGAAAATGGTTATAACATTGACTTAAAATGATTAGGAACCCACATTGCTTATAAGCATTTCCAAACATCTTGCTACAAGAAGGGCCTTATAAGCATATTAGACTAAATTGCATTGAAGGTAGTTGAAGATGTCAAAAATGACAAGTATGTGAAATCTTTAAATTGAAACCAAAGAAGTACAAACTATATTTCTATAAAAAATGACAAGTTTATGGATGAAGTTTCAAATCTTGCACTTTGATTTCTATTATTGAAAATAGCTAAATTTTATATGGTTTTAACTAATCACCGGTAGTTCACTTCGTCAAGATTTAACTTGAAAGCAACACATCTTTATAAAATGAATATTGTATTAGTAGAACTATATTTTTGTCTAGAATCCCATTTTGTGCGAAACAAATTTGTTGTGACTTTATAAAATTCCCAAATTTTTAACTAGAGTATTTTATTTATCATAGTACTATATGCTGCTACTATATTAATAATTATGTTCTGCCTCTTCCTTTTTCTAATCTATATTCACGATTTCGTCATATGTTGTCTCTATATTGGTATAGACCAAAACATAGAAGTAGTCAACAATGTGTTAAGTGGTTAGGGGAAGATGGTGCTCATGTGTTTGGCTAGGGTTTGAAGAACCTCTTGGATTATTAGGACTTGTGCTCAAACTTGGGTATCTTCTATCTATTTTCCAAACATGGTTATCAAACGCGTGTCAAAATTAGTTAATCAGTATCAAACGCGTCAAACTATGCTAGCAAAACAATTGATGTAAGCTCATTCATTTCTTATTTATGTATAATTTGTATTAATTTGGGAGTGACATAATATTGTTGTGAGGTTTTAAAAAATTTTAACATATTTTAAATTTTTTGTTATATCATCTAGAAATTGACATAAATATGTTATCTTTTCTATATAATAATTTGTTTACTTTTGGTATCTCTTCTTCCATACAACTTGGTATTTTCAGTTAATTATATAAATTTTAAGGAACGTTCCTAAATACTGCTAGCTCCGACTTCTTCAACAATATTCAAAACTCTACAATTCATACACTAATAAAAACAAAATAAATACAAAACTCGTGCAACACACGTGACAACGACCAGTGTGTGTGTGTGTATATATCATAACTCCAAATTTGTGTCTAGCACTGAACTTTTGTCAACAAGTCTTTATTACTTGGAGGATTCACTCTTGCAATGCATGAGTTGAATAGAAAATTATTTGATATTACAATAGCAAATGCTTTCAATTGCTTCCCATCACTTAGACACAGGTGGATTCTTATATTTAGAAAAAGCTTTTTTACTTAAGAACTCTCCCTCCCTCTCTTTTTATGTGCCTTTACGTGTGTTTGCATATCTGACGTCTTCTCTTTTACTGAGCTTTCTTCTTTGTTAAGTTGGATTATAGATTTTCTTCTCCCTTGTTTCTGACAGATAGCCTTGCTAGACGCCAGCTGCTTGCTACTGGGGTAACAATTGCCTCGTGTTTCTTGTTGTCCCGCCGTACAACATCGTGTATGTTATCATTTTTAGAATTTCTTTATCGGATTTTCAGTCCATCAATTATGAAAACTTTATTTCCCCCCTCTTTACATTCTCTTATTTCTCTGTATATTTGTCTCAGGGGTGGGTTCTCTCTCTCTCCCCCTACTCCATTATGAATTCTTTTCTTTTTCCTTGAGCTTAGGGAAGATAAAATGAGGCTATCTGTTTATCCTTTCGTATCATGGAACAATTATGGCTGATTGCTAAGAATATATTGTTGATATGGCTCAGTTGCTGCCGAAACAAAGAAAGGATTTCTGTCTGTCACGGATAAGAAGGATGGATATACCTTTTTGTATCCCTTTGGGTGGCAGGTGAGTCTCATAACTTTTTCTTCGATTTACTGCACTTGCTTTGTTTTGGATGTTTTAGTTTATGTTGAAGACAAAATTTAAATTATTTAACATGTTCCCTCTATAACAGTTTAAGCTTTTAGATGAAGTAATTCAATATTGTTTTTCATATTTCACCGCCACACATTTATAACAATTGTGCACATGTTAGGCTTTAAAAATTTCTGGTCTACGAGTGGCAGGACATGTTGAAGAGTAAATTTAAATAAATAATTGTATTCACTCTCTAATAGCTTAGGTTCCATAGTTCATTTTGCACCTTAGCCACTTTGTTACTCATCATCGTGATACCTTCTTTAATTACAACTGATGTTTTATTATTATTTCTTGGCCAGGAGGTAGTCGTTGAAGGTCAAGACAAGGTCTTCAAAGATGTTATTGAACCTCTAGAAAGTGTTAGTGTAAATTTAATCCCAACAAGCAAAACCGATATCCGTGATTTTGGACCCCCACAACAGGTTGCAAACTACTGTTTATTATGATTTTCATCAATGTTTATGGCGAAAGGAACACATTCTATTGTATTTCTTTCTTACTCATTTTTCTTATGCATTCTTTCTGATTTTCATTTTTCTATTGCGGATGATGATTTGACGTCTTGGTTCTAGATTGCTGAAACTCTAATAAAAAAGGTCTTGGCATCTCCTACTCAAAAGACAAAGCTTATTGAAGCATCAGAGGTGAGATTTTTTTAGTTGTCTTTTTATTCTAGTGTTTAACTTAAGTAGAACGCTTGCCCTGCTATAAATTACTCACATTTTTATAAAGAGACAATTACATATTCTCCTGAGCCTGTTTCCAACGGTAACACTTTTACAGTTTGTAATCTTTTTTCAAAGAATATGTTTAATGAGATGGCACACCAATTAATTGGTGAATTAGTTCATGGTAGGTCTCACGAATTAAATAATACACCAATTAATTGAAGTATTATGTCACCGGGGCTTAGCATACTAAGCATCGATGATTAACGGATCATTTCTCTATGTATAACCTAAATTTCCATGATAAAATAATTTAAAAAATTCTTAAATTTCATTTCCCCCTTCCATTCCACACCCCTCCAACATTGTGAAAAGTCTCCTTGTTTATTTTCTTTAAATTGGTTGGTGAATTAAGTTTCTTGAATTACTTATCCAAACTAATCTAGAAAGTTGTTTAATGAGTGAAAAGTACAAAGAAAGCAAAGGAGGAGCATTCCCGTTAAAGAAATTACAATTAAGATGGATAGAAGCAAGTTTTCAAAATCACAGTGCATCTCTTTTCTCAATCCTAAATTTGACATTTTATCATCTAAATTTAATAAATATTTCTCCTTTCTTATAATTTAACCTTTTAGATGAATTGATTCAATACTCAGCTGGTTAAAATGCTTTGGGAGTTCATGGGGCCTTGTTCGGATGTTGAGGCAGAACGACCTGACGGGCTTTTTAACTCAGGTTTAAATGTCTACTTGCAGGAAAGTTCTACACTTTGACAACAGGGTCTAATGAAAGGAGATGGGAGAAGATGAAAGACAGATTGAAAACTGTGGTGGATTCCTTCCAAATATTCAGTGTTTGATATGAACCTTGTTTTGTTTCTTCTTAATCATCGTGGTTTCTTTGTATAATGGTAGAGGCTATTCAATCATTGTAGATATGAGCAATTTTCTATCACTAGAAAATCGAATTTCAGCCATTGCGTGCGGTGAACAGATATTTTTCGGTAGTCGAAAACTGTGATATCATATGACTGATGACACTACAATGTTGTATGTGGTGCAAAGACTACTCTTTAAGTCTTTATTGAAGTGTTTGTTTGGTTCTTTGTTCTTTCTCTGGTTTGTATTTTATTGTAGCAGTTACTACCACCACTATAGTGTATCATGTTACCGATATTTATGAGATCAGTCTTGTATATATAGATATATCAGAAATGATTAAATGAACACCAGTATTCATCTTATGTTAAGTATCAGTGACATATCATATAAATTTATTGGTGAATTTTAAATTTAATTCAAATGTTAAAGTCTACACAAATTTATCTACCAATGAATTATATGACATGTCATCGATAATTAATAGAGATGATTTATGTAAGTAAAGGTTGACCTAAAGGTGAAAATATCAAAATTAAAATGATAGAAATAATTCACCTAAGGGTGATAAATGACTAAAACCTTTCTTGCTAAATTGTCAATCACACTTCAAAACATGGTCAATGGTTAGTCCCTACCTATGTAAAGTAGTTTCATTAACAAAAAAAAAAATTGTATCTTTGACAATTAAAAATTGGAGTCTGCAATTGGGACCACTACATTAGTAGATGGAGGACTAATGTTACAATTTTCCCTACTGAGTGGTTATTAATTAGAAAATGCTTTTTAAAGAATAACTTAGGATACGCAACCTTTTCTTTAACATGTGAGAATATCTAAGCGTAGCATGTCAAGGTACTACAAAAAATATTGCTAAATAGAGATTACGTATCGAATTGTCAAAAAGTTATAGAAAAGTTCAAAATAACATAGATATGCTGTCAATTTGAATTTAGTGTTAAGTCACTACATATTTGATACCTCGACTCTTCTCTTCTTGTTAGCAAATAAAATGGTCGACATACTGAATTACTTGTCTCATTGCTTCTTTTTAGCAAATAAAAAACATCAACCAACTATGCCTGGTTTGGTTTAATTAAAATTCAAAATTTTAATAAAAGTTGACAAAATAAGAAATTGGAAATTTAATAAAAAAATTTATTTTATAAAATGAGTAATTGAAAATAAATATTTAAAAATGGAGTCAATCACGAGCTATATTACAATTATAAGTGACAAATCAACTCGAGGTTATATTGTACAAAATGCGTGAAATAAAATCAAAGAATTTCACTTTTCATATCCCAACCCTTTCTTTTTTCGAGTTTCCTTTGAAGTATAAAAACAAATTTCCTCTTGGTTCCAATTCAGGAAATTATTAGGTTTAGTAACACAATCAAGATTCAAGAAGTCTTGCAATAAAATGGAAATGGTGGAATTGACTGGCCGAACCCAATTAAACTTCTTCTCCTGAACCCATTTTCGCAGCAGTTTTTTTCGGAAGAAATTCTGTATTTTCAAATAATCAAAATGCAGAGACAATTTTGTATCAAGCTCTTCTCCGAAATTTCCAGAAATGTCTCTAACCCAAACACCAATTCGATCTTCTCAGAACCCTGTTTTTCATCATTTTTTAAAACCAATACAAGTCCATTTTCTCACCAGCTTCATAGTCAGTCTTTCTCTCGGTATTCTACTCTTACAGGGCAACATTCATTGAAATCACATACTACTGATGCAGTTTTACTGAAAATCCGATATGGGTTTTGTTTCTCAAACCCAATTCTTGCTAAGCGATTTTTTTCGAACACCCTTTTGAAAGGTCAAAGCAAATGTCCTGTTAATGTCGCAAAGAGAAATTTCCACTCATTTGATTCTCGTCGCCATGGCTGGTATTTCACATTTTACATCCACCGTTTTCATGCTTATTTAGTTATTGTTTTATACCAGTTCTTTGTTTTCAAAATAAGGGTTACTTGTTCATCTTTATTGAATGTTGTTGTGTGGGCTTCTCTGAAAACTAAGTGATATAGAGGAAGTTTTGATTTTTGAAATATTTCTGGTTCCTTCCTGTGGTTTACATGGAACATGGATAATTCTCAAGATTTGAAGTACGATTTTATTTGTCAAGGCCCCCTTTATTTCCCATTCTTTAGCCAAAAAAATGAAAAATATGGTCGCTATCCATTACATCAACTACCATATTTGACTCTCTCTCTTAATGACTATATTTTTCATTTTCATTCTTACGAGAATGAGAATCAAAACGGGGGCTAAGTATTTTATTAGTTGGTTGCTTAGAAGAAAATGGTGCACTGTACACAATCTTTCTTTGCTGATTTCATGGATTGTACTATAGTTGCTTCTATTTTGTGTTTCATGCCTTTGCTATTTTTTTATATGGTATCGACAGTTCCTGCATTTTGGACCAGAACTAAATATCTATCCCGCACATGCTAATTATGAATTATGCCCAGTACTAAATTGAACAAACTAATTCTTACTCGAGCAATTATGATTGTGACTGACATTATAACATGTTGGTTAAAGTTCACACGATATAACATTCATGTACCGATAGAGATTATTATGCCCATATGTATGAATATCTCATACTATGTTAGTGTTTGAGTACTCTCTCTCTCTCTCTCTCTCACAAGTCAACTGGAGTACATCAAGGCAATTATATGGACACCATCATAAAATGAACAAGAAGCGCATCATCAAATATATTGAATAATAATTTAAGATATTCTCTGAAAGGAACTTTGGGGGCACAGCTAAATTTTCAGAAGTTTTGTGGAATATAATACAATTTGACACAGAAGTCTCCTGCTTTTTGATATACTCTCCTCCTCTTTGCTAATTCAAATAAAGTGCATAACAATAGTGCTTCACTGATTATATATATATATTTATACATAGCAACACTATTCATCTTTTTATTTTTTAGGAGATCATGGTTTCAAAGGCTTACAACTGATGGAGTTGTTATAGGCTTGATTGTAACAAATGTTGCTGTCTTTCTATTATGGAGAGTTGCTGACACTCAATTTATGATGAAGAATTTCACAGTGAGTTGTTTATAAAATCTGCATTTTGAACCAGGCAATACGGCACACGAGGTAAATTTAGCTTCTATCTTTACCATTTTTTTCTCAGATATCCGTTGACAATTTTACAAGCGGACGGGTGCACACAATGATAACTTCGGCATTCAGTCATACAGATTTGGGGCATCTTGTGGCTAATATGATCGGCCTTTATTTTTTTGGAATGAGTGTAAGATCCTATTCATCTGAACAATTTTGCATTAGAAGGAGTTGAGAATCCATTTGCTTTAATTTTTTAAGTCTTGAAAGGAGAAAATTCTGGTCATCAATATTTAGATTTTGAGATGTTCTTGTTTACATCTATACTTACACCATTGTGCAACAGGTGGTGCTATATGTTTTTCATGAGACGATTACTTAATATTTACAATACTATGGTCATCATGATTCTTGTCTTAGCGAGTTCTGTGAAATCCAACTTTTATTGGCCAGATGGGAAGAGCTTTTGGACCTGAATATTTGCTGAAGTTGTATCTATCTGGAGCTGTTGTTGGCTCAATTTTTTACCTGGTATATCATGCCTTAATAGCTCCATCATTTGAGGTAACTTAATTCTATCTTTGAAAGTTTATCAAGGTATCAAATTTCCTTTCTGAAATTTCATTTCGTTAAAAATAGTGGATAAACAATGACATGTATGTACTCATTTCAAATCACATGATCCAGTATTGGTTTAATTAAGCTCTCGTGTCTTATTCTACTTTGGGCATCAACAAATTTATATTCTGGAGCAATATTTTCATACATGATTTAGGTTGTGGACACTTAGAATTCTTTTCATATTCTTGATAAAATTATGAATCATTATAATGGATATCGGGCACAATATGTTTGTCCATTATTAGGCTCGTATTATCGTTTTGTTTTTATGAACAACAACAACAATCTTCCATCTGTTTTCTTGCATTACTGATTGATTGCCATTTGTTATGTTTGGCATTTGCAGAGAAAAAGAATGCCCGGCATGGTGTCTATTGACCCGTCAAAAATTCCAGGATTGGTAAGGTTTCCCTTTTTCATTTTTATTCTCGTCTTAAATTAGCTCCATTTCATTCCACTCACTTTCAAGATATAAAGGTGCACTATAGTTAAATAACCATGCTGAATTTCCTTTTCATCTAGAAGATAGAGAAAAAAGAGACTCGTATCGAATAACAGAACGTTTAAAGAAGAGAGCAATATGTAAGACAAGGAGAGAAAAGGGAGAATAGAAACCCGAAAAGAGAGAGAGGAGAAAGAAGAATTTAGAGAGAAACTGTATTTTTTATTCAATAATCAAGTCTAGGAATGGGCAAATCTCTCGAACCGAACCCAACGGTTCTTGTCAAATTAAATACCCTAACGGGTATCTAAATTGAGAACCGACGGGTACGATTCGGTTATCGGTTCTAAACCAAGAACCAAAAAAGAACCGAATCTTTCTATTTTTTTTTTATATTGAATAAATCAAATTATTTAAATTTAAATTTTTTCTAAACAAATTAACAATTTTTAAATCCAAATTTTTGGTCCAATTATCCATTTCATTGTTTCATTTCTTAGCCCAACATGATCCAGCCCACTAAATAACCCAAAACACCTATACTAAAGTGCATAACGCTGTTTCGACTCTCGCACTCGCTCTCATAGCCTCGCTGACATTCCAAATTTTATTAGTATCTACTCTTTGGTATTTGAAAATTGTAAGCATTGGTAAATTAATCTTGTTAGACTATTTGTTATTTACATGTTATAAATTTGACTATTTTAATTTGTAAAACTACGATTGAATGTGTCATTAGTTATATTTATATAGTGTTTTTATAAATGTTAAAAAATCTAATTATAGTACGGAACTGAACCCGAACGGTTCCATAATTATATTTGGACCCGATGGTTCCATTTACTATATACCCAAAAATTTTGGTTCGGTTCGGTTCGGTTCTAAGGTTCTCTTTAGAACCGAACTGACCCGTGACCACCTCTAATAAAGTCTGATTAAAACAATGTACTATCCCTCCTTATATAGGGTTTTACAAAGACTAAACGGGAAGACAACTAAAAAAATAAATCGTTAAACTAAACCCGAATTCGTTTACCTAAAAATATTATTCAAACTTGAAAAGTCTTCCATATAAAATTCTAAATCCAGTATCCCCCTACAAGAAATCTATATAATTAATCTCCGTTCCATTAGAGAAGACTAAGTATAATCCACTGTTTTATATACATTATACAGCATTTCACCTGTTTGACAAGATACTTCGGTTTGAGACTCGCTTGCCATCATACATTTATCCTTATGTTCTTATTATCTCATTGTCTTTTTATGAATGGAAAAGGCTCTATGGTTTTGAGTGTTGCGTAATTAAAGTTCAAATGTCCCAAGATGAATGTCACAGGAGAGGATGCTAAGATGGATGTACAATCATATTCTAAAATGGATAAAGTAAGAAATGATAATGCACGCTAAGCAATGCAGGTGGTGCTTATTGAAGATAATTTAAGGGAAGCCCAATTTAGGACGTGTTTTTCATAAAGTGACTCAATAATTTCGGTAGAACAAATAAAGAGGGGAGAGATGGACTAAAATTAACATTACCTGTAATAGTTGCTAAGGATGTAATAGTTTTAGGACTCTCAATAGATGTAGCAATATATAGAGCAGATGAAAAGCAGGATTCATGTAACTAACCCAAAATTATCAGGAATAAGATTTAGTTTGTACTTGTTCTTATAAACAACAAAGACATCTGTTTGAACAAGGGAGCATATCCTCGTGCAAATTATGATCTTCGTACATGCCAAATGAACTTCCATCTATATTGAGCGAGATAGTCATGGTCTTTTGGGAAATCAAAAGCCCCTCCCATTGTGCACTTATAAAGAGGAGTCTTCCCTCTGTGTTTTATCCACCACAGTTTGTGAGAGATGATCATAGTCATTTGGGATGATATTTGGAGATCCTTTGATTTCAGGTCGAGTCCTTTGTGCTCGTTTATATTATCTTCTGTATTTTTTGTTGTGTTCTTGGGGTTTTAGGGAAGAGGCGAACTTTGTGGTTGTAACAATTTCTGACAGTGGATAAATAAAAGATGTCTTGTATTGACTCATGGTGTTTCACCCTTTTCTTGGAGTTCTCCACATAAATCTTTATGATATTGTTATTGTTCTCTATTTGTATTTCTCTCTTAATACTTTTCTAGGGAGAATATGAAAAATTCAAAGTAACTAATTATTCAATCATTAGCTTAGTACTTCCTGAAGATTAAGAACATATAATAATATGGTGGAGATATTATACATCATAGCGACAGCTTTAGTGACATACATCTCTTCAAGTTATTCAACATATAATCCACTGATGCACAGGCCGTCTGCATGAGAACATCCCTTTCTGATAATCGAGATAAACCATCTCTTCTTGCTTGTAATGTGACAGTACAATACTATTGCATTGCCTAATTCTTGAACAGTTCTGGTCAACATATTAAGAGACATTAAATCAGTTATTTGTACTTCTTTATAAATATCTGTATCACGCAAATATGTGCTGTGTCCACTTGATTGGACAGAATACTCATGAAGACCATGTTGCACAAATATAACCTTCCATAATAATGTAGGCAACAAAATTGAATTTTATTGCTTCAAAAAAAAATTTGTATCTAAGGGCTAGTCTTCTTGTTTACAAAAAATATAAAAAAAATTGATATGAAAATTGTAAAATAGATCATTGTTAATTTGTTTCTTTCCTTTCAACTATAGTTTAATCAGGAAATGCATCAATACAATATTTAATTTTCTCTTGTTCTGATTCTGCTGATGCATTCAGGGAGCAAGTGGAGCTGTGAATGCAATTATGCTGCTGGATATATTTCTTTTTCCGACAAAGACGCTCTATTTTGACTTTATTATACCAGTTCCGGCCATTTTACTGGTAAGTTTTGTATTCGAAACATAGTTACTGGATAAATCTAATCTGGAAAGTTATTTTTACATATTTTTGGTCTATTGTTCTAGGGAATCTTTCTTATTGGAAAAGACATCTTGAGGATATTGGAGGTATGTTTCTTATGCTTTCTGTTTCTTTTTTACCTGTATAAAAACACCAATAGTCACTCAACTTGTAGTGAAGTATCATGTTAGTGGTTCTCGAAGGGCCACAGCACTATGGTTTTTACACCCCTACTCCTATATGAACTTTTCCAGGCTTAAAACTGGCTGTGGTGCCTAGTTTTTGTTATAATTCTTGTTATGTACAACGATGTGAGATTGAAACTAGTTCCATCCTTTGTTTCAGGGAGATCATCGAGTTTCTGGATCTGCACATTTAGGTGGAGCTACCGTTGCTGCAATAGCATGGGCACGAAGTAGGAGGGGGCGTTTTCCCCGTTTCTGAACTCACATTTCATCTGTATATGGTTTCAACTCCGGACTAGGCAAGTTCAGTGTGTTTAAATTTCTAAACAGTAGTAGCTAACAAGAGATTGAACTTCACTATTCGTGTTTAGTGCAGAATGCCATTATATATCTTCAAAGTGTGGACAACTTTAAACCAGTCACCAAGTATAATTCTTTTGCATCTCTCATTTCCTTTTTGTAATTCGGGTTTTCTTCCTTATGCATGCGCCTATGTTCTCATTGGATTTTTGTGTGGATCTCGAGTGGGCTTTAACCGTACACTCAGTCTATGTTCTGACAGGCCTAGCCCAATTGGTACATTTGGACTGGTTCAATTCAAAAAATCTCTGGGCTTTAGTGGCCCACAGCTTTTGTGAGCTGGGGTTGGTATGGCATTGATGCGACTCATATAAAGTTGGATTAATCTTTTCTTAAGGTCCAGAATAATCTTTAGCACAATTTTGATCAGCAATTCAAATTTCGCACAAGAGTTGCCTTTTGAGTAAAATAGAAGACTATTTCCATCGCTAGTCATTATATGAAGAACCACAAGGGACAACAGCTACGAGGAAGTTCAAGATTCTGGAAAAAGATTCGGGCAAATTTTCTAAAAGATCCATGGTTCTTGAGCAATAAATATGGGAGAGTTGTTTCTATAGGAACACACGAGTGAAGATTATCCCAAAATTTGCGGCATGATGAACTAATTAGAAAAGAAACTAACAGTCCAATTTACCATGGCATGTATTTGCATTCAAATAATACTAAGAGCTTCTTTGAGTCCCATTATTTTCTAACAATACATTTTGAAATAGTAAATTGATGAAAAAAGAGAAGAAAAAGTTCCAAATTTACGTGTAACATCATTTCATTAAAAAATGTGTGATTGAAAAGAAAAAAAGGAAAAATGTATTTTGATAAAGGAAATTTACAAAATTGTTCACTTCCGTGCTTTGTCGAATTTTGATGAGACTTGGCAAAAATGGTAAATTTTGGTACCAAATTACATATTACACCCTTAATGAAGAATGGACCAAATTTATTTATTTTCAATTGGTCATTAATGAAAAGAAGCAACTTCTATGAGAAGTTACATTAATGCTAGCTAATATCTAATGAATTCATCTGCTTTCATTATCTATTAGATATTTTTTCAAATGACCATGTAAAGGCAGACATTTTTTGCAATTTTTTCTATTGAAAATAATGGGGATCAAATAAGGGCTAAAATTAAATAGCATTAACAGTTACAAAAACAACATTTCTTCATTATGTCTTGAATAAGTAGAATATAAAGACAATTTCAACCCCAAATTGGAATATTAGACAATGATTCCACCTTCTGTATGCGATGAAGAGAGGTATTAGTTGCTGTCACCTCCAAAAAGGTATCCCAGGGAAGATCCACCACCAGGAGCAGCATGGATTTTCGTACACGGTCGATCCTGTCAAGAAAGGATCCCGTTATATTCGACCTCCACTTCTTGTTGTTAGGATAGAGAAAACAAGAAATCAAATGCAATTCAACATCTGAATGAGTTCGAAATTTCACAAATCAAACAATGGCAAATCAGCCTTGTGCTCTCCCACTTTACAAACAGTTCTAGATAGCCATGTGATCACCGAGCAACCCTTCAATTTAAATCATCATGATAAAGAAGTTGCAGAAGTAGGGAAAGACATGCAATTTAAATCATCATGGTCTTCAAAAATGAGCAGAATTTTAAAACAACAAATGTTCCGAAACAATGTTGGTACTTGGAATTGACTGAAGATCTCATTAACAAGAGTTAAGTCCCTTGTACAGGGTGGTTTGCCAGGCAGAATGCTAGGTGGTAGCACTGCATTTGATGTTGGGCAAAAAACAAATTTAAACGAAATTGCAATTTGTACCCGTTACCCGTCCCTCACATGGGAGGCAGGGCCCGCGCAAAATAAATGTGTGGGACCCACCCCCCCCATGTGAGTGGCGTGTAAACGCCCGGGTACATGTAGCAAAGCCCAATTTAAACATACCAACACAGTGCTGCCAGGCATTATGTCAAACTGCATGGCAAACCCCCTTATACATGTAGCATGATTCCATTAAAAAGGAATCACCCTCTTCACCATTTGCACATCAGCACATGCATGGGTATGTTTAGCAATCATCTGTAGATACAAACATGCATTTGCACCCACACAAAATGTGTTTAAAAAGAATAAAACGCGTGCTCAGGCCTTTTTCTAGCTTCAGTGCAAACCAAAAGAAAAACAGAAGTACTAAAAAAAATTTACTATTTAACACCAAAGTGATCCAACAATTTACCAGTCACCACATTATTAATTGTGATTTGATGTAACTGAATATGATAATTGAAGGAATCATTTTCTATCTTTTTGTACTTTTTTACGCTACTCCTTCACACAGCGTTTCCACTGACTAATCAAATCAAAAACTCAAACTAACAAAAATTTACTATTTAACTCTAAATTGATCCACACATTTACCAGATCATTGAAGGCAATTAAATAAACAAACAAGCAACAAGAAACGGAAACCACCGAGTAACGTCGGAGTCAAACTTTTGCTTGCACATAAAAACCAGAATCAAAATATCGATCTGTGAACAAAAACAATGAAACAAACAGCAATGTAAAGTAAATAATTTCAAAAAATGTGGAGATAGGAAAGGACTTACCAGTGTTCTTAGAGTTCAGATCTGAGCTTGAAGATATTTGAAAGGATATGACTGTTGGTCAGAATAATTAAAGGGTAAGATTTTTAGAAACAATTGCAAGGTAAGTCCTTCACTAATTAAATTTGCACATACGGCTTCTTTACTTTTAGTTCTCATCCTTTTACTTTTGTTGCACCGATAGTTCATTATACTAAAATATCGCTGAGGGTAAAGTACGAAAAAAACAAATAATTTTAGTAAAAGAAAAATTTGAAATAAAAGGAAAATTAAAAAAATTGCATCTTTGGTTCTCTATCTTTCTTAGTTCGCCTCAATGCCATTGTAACAATTCGAAACATTTTAAAAAATGATAATATCAAATGTTATTCCTTAATCTACCTTATTTTTCAAGATAAAAAAGGTTTATCTCTAGCATTTAAATATTTTAATGCAAAATAATAAAATGATTGCACTACATTAAATATTTTTGCAACATTTTAAATTTATTTATTAAAAATCTGGACCACGACTCGTTCGCAGATATATGGGAAAAAATGAGATAAGAGATCCCATTCTTTAACACACATTTTTTTTTCAAACCATTTATTAATAAAATAAAATGTTTATACTTTTAGTCATATATTCTTTAAAAAAAAATATTTTTTTACAAAAATTATTTTAAAAAAGACTCAAATAGGGGCTAAATTGAACTTTCGAGTAACACTGTAGCAAATTGGGCCTAAATTGAGCCCATTGTCCAAGAGCATATCCTACATTTTGCCTAAATGAGTTAATTTAACAAACGGTCACTAAACTGAACCGAAAATCTCAAATGGTCATTGAAGTTTAAAACTTGCAGCAACGATCATTGAACTTACGGGCGCTTTCACTAACGGTCACTGATGGATCAAAACACGTGATTGGATCCTTGAGGACCTCAAGTGTAAATTTTATCCAATTTCATTTGCTCAAAATCTGCCCCTAAAATTTAGAAATCGAGCCAAATTTCTCCCACTTTCACCATATTTCGTTGGAGCCGAAATTTGTCAAATTCAACCACCATACTGCCAGATAAACCACCTGATTTTTACACCACCACCACCTCCTCATCCCCCTCCACAATCCTATACCAACAATAAACCAAAACACATTAAAAATCACATGAAATTCAGGTTCAAAAAAATATCCCCACCCACGATTTTACCTCCAATTCCAGCCAATTTGAGATAAATTGGTGAGGACCCATATGTGCATCTTGTTCGCCATGATGAGTAGAAGGTAATGGTGATGGTAGGTGAGCGCAATTGTTGACGCCGGCGCCGAAAATTGGGGAGGAAAGTTCGTTGTCGCTACCTTCGAACTGGTATAGGTTAGATTTTGATTTAAATTGTTTTGTGATGGTATGGGACCATGTACCTGTTCGTCTTGGAGAGTACTAATAGCCAGTGATGGAGTTTCGATATGGGTGATGGTAGATTGGCCGGAATTGGAGATAAAACCATGCGTATGTATGATTTTTCGAACCTGAATTTCACCATGATTTTTGATGTGTTTTGGTTGATTGTTGGTATATGATTGTGGAGGGGGATGAGGAGGTGTTGGTGGTGTAAAATTTCGATGGTTTATCCGGCAGCAGGGTGGTCGATTTTGGCTTTGAATCCATCGACGTCGGAGAAGAAAGCTAGTAAGGGAGGAAAAAATTGTCTAAAGAGTGATTTGATCCTCAAGGCTTGATTTTCACGTGTTTTGGTCCTTCAAGTTTGAATGAAAAGCATAATGGGCCTTCAGTGATCGTTGCTACAAATTTTAAACTTCAATGACCGTTTTGAGATTTTCAGTTAAGTTCAATGATCATTTGTGAAATTAACCCTTGCCTAAATATGTAGAGTTTTATACCTAATGTTCCCAAAATTTTACTGAAAAGGAATCCAAACTTCTTGGCAAGTCTAAGTGCATTTTAATTAACTGAACTAAAGATATATATTTTTCTTCTGAATTCTTTAATCTAAAAGCGGTAAAATAATAATGAATAAAAAAAATATTCAAAGAAAATTAGTAATTGTTAAAGTTGTCACGTGAATTCCAGCTCCGCTCCTGCATGCATCAATCTTGTTTTATTAAGGGGCGTTGCTGTGTGTACAGAAAATATACATACAGAACAGACACAACAACAGCGTGGGTGGGTGGATTTTTTGCATTATTTTATTCACTGAAACCCACTTTAATGTGAGATTTCTGTGAAAACATTTTCTGTACACATGAAAAAAAAAATTCTTTATTAGTGCCTCATTAAAATTTTGCAAGTGATTAATTAATTTATTATTCTGATTAAATTAAAAAAAATGGAAGAAGAAGCCAGGCAAGCCTAAAGCCAATGACAATTTTTCCCTTAAAATTCCATGATCGAACAAGGTTATTAGAAGATCCTTTTCCATATCTTCCTTGTCACTGTCATCTCATTTCCCTTTATTTATTCATTTATGTATTAATAAAACCTAACAAGACAATAACTTCCTTAAAAAGAAAGA